GCTGGGGAGGATCTAAAGGATGGCTGCCTACAGGCCTTCCCACAGACGTGCATGTTCAGGCCCACAGTGTTCGAGCTGGTCAGACGCAGATTCCGACCAACCTTCCAAGATCGGCAATCGTGAATCGTGGCCTCAACCAGCATTTAGGATTCAGAATCAGCTAGCACCGACCAGCTTCCAGCAATCTGACACTGGCATTATCAAACAGCTTGCAACTGCCACCGCCGCCCAATAGTCATTGGGGTAGCTACTCATCAACGATGACTCATGAAGCAGTCATTGCAGCTCAAGCGAGGAAAAAGCAACCATGTGTGACACGTGACCATGAACCGAAGAAGAGAACAGCCAAGTGCAGAAATAAGCCAGACATGCAACGTATCACAGAGCGGCTACTCATTGTGGCTGTCAAACGCAATCAGCAACCAGCATCCAACATGGAAGAACCAGCACGGTCCGCAGTTGCAGCTAGCATGCTAAAATCAGCATCGCATAAGTGCAAGTAGCGATACTGCAAAATGAGGTAAGAAACACAGTGTGCAGCCACCTGGGCAACAGGCTGTTTGTATCAGAACACTGTCAGCAATCAAATTGAGCAGGGACAGGGCCATTTGGGATGGGCAACCCCAGATTCTAATGGTTATTCTATTCGGCTTTAGACGCCTAAACTAAACGGGGGAATTTATTTAAGGGCTGCCGCCCAGTGCCGCCGACCCCTTCAATTAAATGAACGAATTCTTGATTCTCCGGTGCGGCGTTCGCGAGCGAGAATCGGGAATGCGCCAATCCATTTTTTCCTGTGGGGGGGGGACCTTTTCTTCTGGATGGGCACATTCTTGATTCTCCGGTGCGGCGTTCGCGAGCGAGAATCGGGAATGCGCCAATCTACTTTTGTTTTTTTCTCGGGGGGGGGGGAGACCCCCTCAGTTGGATGGGCGCATTCTTGATTCTCCGGTGCGGCGTTCGCGAGCGAGAATCGGGAATGCGCCAATCCATTTTTTTTTCCTGTGGGGGGGGGGACCCTTTCAGCTGGATGGGCGCATTCTTGATTCTCCGGTGCGGCGTTCGCGAGCGAGAATCGGGAATGCGCCAATCCACTTCTTTGTTTTTTCTTGGGGGGGGGAGACCCCCTCAGTTGGATGGCGCCAATCCACTTTTTTTTCTGTGGGGGGGGGGGGGAGACCCCTTCAGCTGGATGGGCGCATTCTTGATTCTCCGGTGCGGCGTTCGCGAGCGAGAATCGGGAATGCGCCAATCCACTTCTTCTTTTTTTTCTTGGGGGGGGGGGGAGACCCCCTCAGTTGGATGGGCGCATTCTTGATTCTCCGGTGCGGCGTTCGCGAGCGAGAATCGGGAATGCGCCAATCCACTTCTTTTTTTTTCTGTGGGGGGGGGGGGTGTGTTGTTTTCGCACAGATTGATCTCCCGCAACATTTGGCTCAAGGCCCCTTTTGCACAATCACGACCATTCGAGCGTGAGGACAAAAGAGCCATTGCAGGCCGCTTACAGGATTATCCATCAGACAATCCACCAGGGACAATCCATCCTCCAATCATCCATTGTAGGCATACTGGACTCTCTCCGGAATAGATTCAGGGACCAACAACGACCTCAACTACCACAGGGTTCCAGTTCCCTCCGGGGATAGGCACCTGGGGCAGTGGGCCTCAATTTGTGGTAGCGGAGCGGGTTTTCCGCAGAGATCCAAGGGAAGATGTCATCAGATGGAGAAGGTTTCATGGAAGCCTACACAAGTTCGGCAAAGCCGAGCTACACGGAGGAAACACTTAATTTATCGATGACCGCCAAGCAGCCGCCATCGTACGACGGAAAAGTCAGCTGGTTCAGGTATGAAGAACTCGTGGACGACTGGGTGACAATCACCACAGTAGAAGCAGCCAAGCGAGGTCCATTGCTTAAGAGCAGACTCACTGGAGATGCTTACATGTACAAGGCCGTCCTCCAAAATGACCTTTTGCAAGATCCTGATGAAGGAGTCAACTATTTCAAGAACACGCTGAAGAAGTACTTTTTGAAAGGTGCGATCAACGTGTATCTGTACAGACTCCTCAGTTTCTTCAACCACAGAAGGCAGAACCAAGAGTTCCTCATTTTTACCTCAAAATTCGAGATCCTTCTCATGAGATTGAAGGCAGCATGGATGGACTTGATGCCAATCTTTACGGCACAGTCTCCATCATTCCGACAGTCCGTACAGGACGCAAACGCGAGAACAATTGCTCGACATCAGCAAGCAGCCGGTGCTCGAGCACCGCCTCCAGCCCTGCTAAATGAGGACGATCCTACAGTCCTCAGACAATATATCCAAGGAATGCAGGACAGACAGCGGGACGCATTTCCCTTCGGGGATAATCTCATTGCACAGTTTTTCATTATACAAAGTGAGTTGTCAGATCAACAAAGAGAACGACTCACAAGTGCAATGTCATTGAGGAACATCTCACTCGAGAATTATTCCTATGAGATGCTGAAGACACACTACCATGAACTCTTCATCACAACGAGGACATCGATCCAAGATCCATCCATCCGACCTCAAGGAGGCAGCCGAAGCAACACATTCTTCATCATCGAACAAGGTGAATATGAAGGAGAAGAAGGCTTCTGGGTTGAGGATGAAGAAGGACTTGAAGGATTCATGTCAAACAACGATGAAGAGACGTTCTGGGTCCTCGAGGAGAACGATGCACGTATCGCGGAAAACAACAACTCCAAAACCTGCAGTACCTCATCCAGCAGAGAACATGTTCGTCGAGGACCTCACATCTATTCCTGAACAAGCACATTGGAACTGTGTACGTAAGGGAAAGATCCACGTTCTCGAGATCTTTGCAGGAAGTGCCAGATTCAGTCAATGCTGTGCACTGTCAGGTCTTAAGGTTGGGACTCCCGTGGACATCCGCACAGGATTCGATGTAATGACATCCAAGGGACGACACATGGTCATGGAGATCATCAGGGAACAAGCACCTGATGTCATCCTTATGGCACCAGTCTGCGGACCATGGTCAAATATGCAGAACATCCAGCAAGACCAGCAAAAGGTGGGGGAAAAGCGGAAACGCTACCTTCCCATGGTTGAATTTGTGGCATCCATTGCGCGTTGCCAGTTGAAGCACAGAAGATACTTCATTATCGAAAATCCTCAGACATGCAGGATATGGTATCTGAAATGCATGCAGCAATTGTTTTCAGACCCATCCGTGACCTGGGTGGGGAGATTTCCATTTCTGTGCATACGGACTAAAAGATCCTGAGTCCGGGCTCAGAAGTCTCAAGCCCACGAGCTTGATGCACTGCCTACCTTCCGAGGTTATGAGACCGATCTTCAGAAGGTGTAAAAACTTTTCCAGCTCAGTAAAGCATGAACACCAACCCCTAGAGGGAAACGCTGGTTCCTTCGGAAGCAGAACCAAACTGGCACAGGTGTATCCTTACCAGTTCTGTCAGGACCTTGCGCACATCATCTTACGACACTTGCAGGTGAAACCGCGTGACAACGATGTGTACCTCTTGGAGGACCTTTTTGAACCATTCACCATCAAGCAGGTTGATATCCTGAGAAAGGAGATGGAAGCCATTGACAAGGAGTTCAACATGACCAGCAGCAGTCTTGCAGTCAGAATCCAAGACCTGCCGTTCAACAAGGATGTTCAACCATTAGTCCTCCGGACGATGCAATCATATCCTTCTGGCAGCCTGATCAGCTGAATAGAATTTGGGTCTTGCCTGCATCAAAATGCAATTGGGAGAAGTATGATCCGAAGACGTGGCATGCTGTGATGTTTTCATCCGTTCATGAGTCGTTCACCGATGCGCCGGCCATCAGGCCGATGCCCATCGAGACGGGTCCATGGGATCCCACGGATGCGCCTCAGCAACCTGACACACAGCCACCACCTGATCAACCGGACCATCCCATGCCTGATCCAAGACCTCCAACACCTCCGGACGAGAGCATGTCAGATCCTCCTCCGGATCCTCCACATCAGCCTGATCATCCCATGCCGCCAGCGCCACGCAGTGTGTTGCCAGACAGTCCAGTGGATCCTCCACTACCGCCACACGACTTTGCCGTCACAGTCGCAATCATCTCAGCCAATTCTTCCGACTGTCGTGGTACCTTCACCACCTGCGATTCTTACAAATCCCGAAGCAGAGGAACAAGATGAAGATCTTGAACTGCCGACACTTGTGCAAGAAGAAACAACCGGCAGTCCGTCAAAGAAGCAGAAGACTGGGAAGAAAGAAGAAGAAGAAGCCAGATGACAATGATGAGTCACCTGAGCATTCTCCCAGACATGATCCTGCATCTTCATCCAATTATAATCCGAACAATCCAGCCAATTTGCCGGTTCAATATGAAAGTGAGGAAGAGCTGATTCCTCATGTTCCAACCTCATCCGGCACTGGAAGTTCAGAAAGAACCATGAGATACACTGACCAGGAAGATGGAGATGCAGAAGACTCTCAGAGGACCAGATCCTACGATGATCACCAAGCTGATCTCGTTCTAGATGAAGCGCATTGGTCACTCATGACAGCCGAAGAGAAGATCTGTGCGAACACTGGATCCTTTACGGTTCCGAGAGATATCGAAGGCAACCCTGTCCTTCTTGGACGTGTGAAAGGGACCTTCAGTCCATCGCCCCGATGCGGATTCTCTCATCAGAAATACACAGATCAGAATCATGTTGACCAGCTATGCAAGAACATGACCGACGATGACCGTGCACTCCTAGTTCTGTATTCATCCAAGCAAGAATCCTTGAAGGCTTCATCCACATCCGCACTCATTGGCAAGAAGCGGAAGGAAGCTACAGCCACGGAAATCAGAGCTTATCAGAAGCAATTCCTTGAAGCTAAGCAGCTTGAGTGCAAATCATGGCTTGACAATGAAGTGTTCGACTTAGTCGATACACGCAAGATTCAGGTCAGGAACTGGGTCACCGGTCGATGGGTCCTAACCCTGAAGCGAGAC